TTCTGAGTCACACTGCAGTTTGAAAACCACTGCCCTGCATAAATCTCTTACTTCTGGCTGGCTTCTCCAGCTGGGCTCTTCCCTCCCCCTCCCTCTCCTTGATGGCAATTAAGAACCCCACTGTCAGGATGCTCCTGGCATGGGCCTACCCGTTCTAACCAACACGCAGAAGGGCCTTCCGCCTTGGTGAGAAGGTGAACGTTCCCACGGTTCCCAAACATGGCTGCGTGGACCGCATCCGAACTCCATGGGGGTCTTTCTATAAACACGTATTTCCAGACCCTTACGGATGCCAATTCAGGAGGTCTGGGGGCGCGGGGGGGGGGGGGTGCTGGGAATCTGGGACTCCTCAGGGAACTCTGCATGCACTCAGGAAACCAGAGACAGATGGTTCTGGGCATGGAGTCAGAGGACCTGGGTCAAATTCCGGCTCTGCCACGTTCCTTCACCCACAGCGGTTTCCAGCAAGATCTGTATCTCTTAGCTCTGAACATGAGCAGCACCCACCACAAAACCAGCTGCTTCCAGGCTCTCGACACCCTTGTGATGTGACTCTGGCTCACTGTCCACCTGTCAACCCTTCCCTGGTGTCATATTCACAGGCATCTCCCCACCCTCCTCAAAGACACAGGCACACAGTGTCAGAGCGCAGCTACACAGTTCTTCCGCAAACCCTCCCGGGCTCACCGTGAGCGTCCCTCAGCCACACCGTCCCTGTGAGTCTGCGCTTCAGCCCTCGGGCAAATGGGAGCAAACAGCGCCTGACTTCACCCCCCTCCCCCCCGCCAGGAATCCCACACAGAGCAATGCCATCTGGAGGTAACAGGTCACATGTGACATCTGAAAAATTAGAGCGAACAGGCTCACCTTCCTCTACATCACTGCTAGGGATTCGTGTGCCGCCTCTCTCCACACGGCACCCCAGCCGTGAACCCTGCACTCCCCTGGTCCCCTGGCCATCTCCCCGCTGCCCGTCCCATACACTGACCTCCCACTGAACCAGGTCAAGACTCTGCCTCTCTGAAAAGCCCTTCCAGGCCGGCCACACCTTTAGCTGCACCAGTAAGCTCCCAGCCTCTGACCCACAGTATTTAATGCTCTTACACGAGAGGTTAAGGCCCACACTTCGGAATCAGCCAGGCCCGCACCCGAGCCCTGACTCTACGGGTGACAAAAGCCAAAGCATCCTGGACAAGTATTTTAAATTCTCCAAGTCGCTGTTCCTCGCCTGTAAACTAAAAACCCACTCCCGGAGCTGTTGTGAAAAGCACATGACGGGGTACGCATGCCAAGAGCCTCACTCAGAACGGGCACATGCTCAATACGGCACACGTGGGACACATCGCTTATGTGCACGTACCTGGACGTGTGCTCGGAAGGAAACCCCACGACACAGAACTGCAGAAGAGCCTCAGATGAGCACAATGAAGTCTAGCGGGTAGAGCAGGTGGCCCGAGAGCACAGCTAGAGAGACACGAGAGCCCGCAGTCTGGCAGCACTCCAGGCGTGGTCAGCAGGCAGAATCTCTGGCCTCCCCCTGAACCCACCGCGGGTTCGGCAGGGAGAAGCCCCCTCGGCACCCAGGCCCGAGCCCCTCCTCCTCCGGCTTTGTCTCTTCTAAGAGCTGAGACTGCTGGCTGCTTTGAGGAGGAATCCACAGTCCAACAAGCTCCCCAGGTGATTCCTGTGCACATTCGTTTCAAGAGTAGTGCTTTGGAGAGGGCCCCCTTCCAGCCCCACGCTCCCCCCAAAATACTACAGACAGTTTAGTCCTCATGTGTTCCCCCACGGTGCTGCAGGGAAGGCAGCGTGGACCAGGGAGCAGGGCAGCTGGGAGTACAGACTCTGACGTGCAGCTATTCAGTTCAAAACGCGCTGCCCAGGGCTGCTGGGAAGATTTCACGGGAAACAAACTGCTCAGCACACTGCCTGGCACTCAGCAAAGCGCTGGGGCCACCTTAGCTATTTTTGACCACGACTGCAGAGAGAAGTGAGGAGAGAACGGAGAGGGAAGCCTCTCCGAGGCTCTGATGTGGAAGCAGAAAGGCCAGTGACGAGCCATGAACGGGAGGAAGAGCACTCTAAGCAGAAGAGGGAAAAAGTGATCAAAGGGGTAGCAGCTGAGGTCTCCGGAGGCCATGAGATTTACTCTAGGTAGACCTGGAAGCCGCCGAACGCCGATGTGTTGGGACATGTCCGCAAAGATCACTCTGATCATGGTGCACAGAATGGGCTGGAGGGCACAAGACCGAAGCAGGAAGACCAGCTAAGGAGGCCCCAGAGGTGGTCAAGGCAAGAGAGAAACACAAGCCTGGACTAAGGTTGTGAGCAGTGGTTAGGTTCTGGAAATACACTGGAGATACAGCTGCTGCCCAACTGGGCCTGGAAGAAGGACCCGAGGACAGAGGGCTCTGAGTCTGCAGTCTGCGAAACTCAGCGAGGTGGGGGCAGGTCTGGGTCACGTAGGGTCAAGATGTCAGAGCGATGAGCAGGGAGGACACCCGGTAACGGCTCACCATCGAAGGCTGGAACTTAGGGAAGAGGCCCTGGCTCAAACGACTGAAGGCCGCTTGAAGCCAGAGACCAGGCCTTTCTTTCCTGCAGAGTCCTTCAGCACTGCGCAGGGCGCTCAGAGCAGACGCTCAATGCACATCAACGCATTTCAAGACAAAATGAGGCTTTCAGAGGATGGCCATCGTCATGCTGGCGCTTAGGTGAGGATTCGTGGAGTGGTGCGTGTCTGGGAGTTGAGAGAAGAGGAAGGATTCCCAGGCTGCAGAATGGGTATTAGTCCCCGGAGGCTGGCTCACTTCATGGAAAGGAAAGCAGGCCAGGTTTGGGAATGAGGGGAGAAGTGTGGAAAAGTCTTCCACAGGGAGCCCAGGGGGAGGGGAGTATTGCCAGAGAAGCAGCAGCAAGATGAAATACCGGTTCGGGGAAGGAAGGGGGGCCTCGTGTGGAAGGGTCTGGAAAGATTAAGGAGCTGGGGTCGTGGCTCCTCTCCCTACTTCTCATCGCGCCTGCAGGTGGACGCGGATGAAAGCTGCCCGGCCCCAAGGGGGAGAGCTCCTCAGAGACTGTCCAGAGAAGAGCAGCCCCTCTCCCCCCACCCCCCAAGGGCCTAGCACACGACCCCGCTAGCTTACACGAGCCCCGATCTCGCCTTGGCCTCTCAGCTCGGCCTCCACACCCCACTCCCGGCCCAAGCTCCTTTGTTCGGAACTCACCCAGCACTCGTCCTAGGGTGTCCCGGGCCTGGTGGGGACCCGGGGAGCCACGAGTCCCTGCCGGGGGACACAGGGCACACGCCCCGACAACCGCACAAAGCCAGCGGGGCCGTGTACAAAGCAAGTGCACGGACGCCTGAGAAGGCGGAGGGCGGGCGTGAAGCCTGTCTGGCCTCCATCACCACCACCACCACCACCACCACCACCACCGTTCCCTGGGGCAAAACCGAGTCCTTCGCCAGTCCGCGCTCCTACTGCTCTGTCAAGTCCGCCGACCTGTCCCCGAGCGGCAACTGGACTCGGGTCAGGCGCGGGTCTTGCCCACAGTGTCTGGCTTCGGCCAACACCTATGGAAGTCCTCCTGAGGTCAGGAAAGCCACGGTCCGAACCCCCACCTTGCTACTTCCTGGCTGTGTGCCCTTGGGCAGGTTGCTGCACCTCTCTGCGCCCGCCTCCCCGCCGGCGCGGGCACGGAGCGAGCAGGTGCGCGTCGTGCCGGCCGCTCACCCAGTTTCCGAAGCCGAACTGCTCGATGGCATCCAGCAGCAGCTGCTCCTCGCGGCTGGTCCAGCCGCCCTCGGCCTCGGGCCCCCAGAGCGTGAAGCGCCCGCCGTCCACCAGCTGATAGCCGTGGTAGCGGCGGTGGTGGCCGATCTCGGCGCCGGCAGAGAAGCACTCGGGGCACAGCTCGATGTCCTGGCACTCGGTGCAGCGGAAGCGCAGCGGGCTCACCTCGGCCAGGCAGTACACGCAGTACTTCTTACCGAGCTCCGCCATCTTCCCCCGCCCGCCGCCCGCCGCCGTCAGCGCGCCGCCGCCCGC